AAAAAAAGTAGATCATAACTATATTTATGATAATTTTCTAGGCAAATTTGCCTGAAAAAGCCTACAGTTTAAGGGATAAGGCATCTATTAAAAAACCAAAGATCTAAAATGAGCTGAATTAGTAAAATTAATAGCTTTGGGATTGTTATTAAAAAGTATAAAGCATTTATTCATTATTAGAAGTCATAAAAAATAGTAACAAAATGATCAAACTTTATGATATAAAAAGAATAAATGTAAGGCATTTACTTGCATATAAGCTATAATAATTGAATGTTTACCTTTGAATATGAAATTAAAGTGTAAATTGTATAATACATAGATCAGCTAAATTTTATGCAAATGTTGAATATGATAACATTAATTAAGATCATGTGAAATTGGATTATTGGTATTTTATAAATGATTTTTATTATAGTTAAATTAGAATTTAGAGTTAGAGTTATAAATGAAAGAGTATAGGTGAATTTTGGTAGAACTTATATTTTCAAATTGAGACCTTCAAATTTCATCATGATCTAATTTCACGATAATTCTACAGTAGCAATCCAAAATGAATCTTTTACATCTGTGATCAATCACAAATTAAATTATTTATATTGAATTCAATTGTGATATTTCTACTAAATGATAATTTGTAACAATTAATAATTGTGTATATAGTTGTAGAGATTGGACCTATTAAGAAAATTACTACCTGGGTATTATTAAATTATCCATGTTATCTGAGTAAATTATTATGTATTTTGGGTAATCATATAGTAACAATTTCTATCCGGGTCCAATCCTTAAGTTGTCATGTATTCCTGAAGTTAGCATTTGCTTGAAGTTACAACTTCATGATCTAATTTTGAAGGCTAATTTTAAGTGCCACTTCAAATAAATGCTTAATTAAATATTACTTATTTGACTCATATTCAAAATATTATGAAAAGCATAGATATGACTGGTCATGTGTGAAAGAATGCCGGCTAGCCAAAAATGCTGGAGATAAATAACTTTAAATCTGCAGAATACATTATGAATAATTTAAACTAAATAATTTAAACTAAAATGATGATATACTTCTAAGAAGTGAAATTACGCCAGGTATCATCGTAACAGTTAAATGATGAGAAGCAGCATCAGCTGGTGGTTTCCCACCCGCTTGAAGCAGCTAGCTGTTAAATAAGGAATAACAGAATTAGAAGACTACCGAGAAAAAAAGAGAAAGTTGTAATGCTTGGTTGTGTTAAAAGAAGAAAGAGTGTTTCGAGTTATTGTTGCATCTTTAAAAACCCTGACTATTCTCTCCTGTTTTTCGATTTATTGACTTTTGTTTTTGTTAAGCATATTATAATAAGTATATGAGGTTTTAAGATTCTTTTGCAATTTTTAAAATATACAATACCAAAAAATTAATTTACATTAGCCAATTAAATGAATTTCTCTCTATAATAATTGTGCAATTTGATTAGCTATCAGCATACGCAAATCTATCCTTTTTGATTCATGGGGTCTATTTTTTTTGATTCATCGGGTGATCAACAAAAAAAGGCCATTTTTTTATAAGCGTATGCTGATCTTCACGTGATACAATGCCGCATATCGATATTACGTGAACTTACACATTCGATTTTATTGTTGTTAACCAATCAAATTATTAGATCGAACTTTAATCAATTGTAGTATAAAAGGAAAAAAAAGTGTAATTAGTATAGAGATCGGTTCTTTTTCCCCAACGATAATAAGAAAAAAAAACCTCATATAACGTAAGAAGCAGTTTGTTGAGTAGAGATAAAGGTGTCGTCGCATTAAGTGGAGATTAAGGAGGAGTTGGTGAATTTGGAGGTTGAGGTGTTGTAACCGGATGTGTTGAGTAAAGAACGGTAGAGTGGAGACAAGAGAGGAGTAAGAGATAGAAAGGTGTCGTTAGCACGTTGATTTAAAATAAAAAAAGGTGCCACCAGTGTATTTAATTGAATTAAATTAAAAAAAAAGTATCATTAGTAATTTACTTAAAGCTATGTGTGTTAAATAAGGGAAATCTGAAACTTACAAATACTTTGTTGTAGGCCAGACAAAATAAAAGGTGCCACTGGTTCATTAAATTAAATTAATAAATAAAAAGATATCGTTAGAATATACTTAAAGCTATGTGCGTTAAATCGGAAAAATCCGAAACTTACCAATACTTTGTTATAGGGAAGATGAAATAAAAGGTGCTACCAGTACGTTAAAATAAATAAAAAAAGGTATCATTTGTAATCTGCTTAAAGCTATGTGTGTTAAATTAAAGAATTCTGAAACTTACCAATATTCTTTTATAGGGAAGACGAAATACATTATTGTATATACCTACGACTATATAACTGAATATGGCGATGCATACGTTACATCAGATGAATACAGATGGAAGTATTGGTTTACCATTTGGACGTGCTGCTGAGACATATATCTTATCATTACCAATTGTAAAAGAGCACGTTTCAAATGTCAAAGCTGACAAAAAGTAAATCAAGCGATTCAAAAAAACCTTGTTATTTTTAAATGCGAAGAAGGTGCAATTGACTTCAAAGGCTGGACAACGATTAATGGCATGACAAAATCAACAAATCGCTTGGATGACAGACTTGAACTAACAGAAAAGGAACAGAGCTATGTTATTCAAATTCGGCAAGGTTTAGTTCCGGGTCTCTGTATTTGGCATTGGGTTTTTTACTGTGCAGGTGATGGAAACTGTCAGAGAATATGTGGTAGATTTGGAAATTGTATACTCAATTATCCAAATTATCAAATGAAAAACAATTTAAAAAATGGCAATGATATGCACAAGTGCAAAGTTCGCATAATTACCAAAGTTATGCTTAATATGGTTGCAGAAAGATTTCCTATTAAATTATATATCAAAGGTCAGCATATTCCTACCAACATTTCTATTCAATATGAATCAGCTATTACACGTTTAAATCTCAGTAGAACTGTAAGGGATCAGGTAATTTTAAGTCGACGTGCAGATAGATGTACAGCTAAAGAAGTGAAGCTTAAACTATTAACTCCATTTAATGGTGCATCAAAAGAACAATTGGAGCAACAAGAAAAATGTGGAGTTAATATATGTAGTGAACAAAAAATTCAACAGTTGATAGAACGAAATAGTCAATATAGTCGTGATGTAGGTCCGTAGACAATTTTACATGGTTTAGTTATGAATGAATTGAAGAAAAAGGGATTCGTTCTTTATTATCAACAAGAAGATCAAAACTTTCCTTTAAATTCTCCAGAACACTATTATCAACTTACTGTAAGTGATAATATGTGGCTTGAACAAGCAAGAGATTATGGCTCATTTTGTTTTGGCATCGATGCAAAGTATGATCTAAACAATAATCGAGCACCTATTCATACTCTTGTAGTAGAAGATGGAGGAAATTGGGGCACACCTATAGGATTTGCATTATCTAACAAAGAGAATATGCATACAATAAGGCTTACGGTTGAAGCAATAAGAGCAAATATACCTTGTAAAAATATAAATTGTGACCATCCATATGAATATATTGTACTACCTAATAATAAAGGCTTTAAACGTATACGGCTGTATGCAATTGAATGAAAACTTTTCGCAATGATGGATAAACACAGACCAACAAAGGCTGCATTAAAGCCTATTTTTCGAGGTACAATACTCTGTTGGTTTCATATAATACAGACTTTTAGAAATCATTTTCGAACACAAAAAATTGATTGGAGCTTATGGTAATGCATAGTATTCATGAATCTTTTACATATTTTTTATATTAATTGTAGCATCTTATGCCAAAATTGGATTATGATGAAATGTTAAACGTATATTAATAATATTATTTATATATATTATATTATTTATGCAGATACCCGATAGCATTAGCATTCAAAATTATTGGCAGATGCAGAAGTGTAACCGAAACCAAAAAAATGGCGATCAAATATAAAAATTTTATAAATTTACTTCCAATTTCCACCCAAGCAAAAGCATTTTTATACATGATCTTGAGGAAAATTGGCTCTGTAAAGAGTGGATTCTTGGTTTCATTGATGGCGGACACTTACCTAATCAGGAAGATGGACCTCACGCAAAATCGTGGACCACTAATAATTTTACTGAAAGGATGAATAGAACTATTGAAGAAAGATATTCAGGTACCCAAACGGTGTTGACTTTTATCGAACGTCTTTATGGTATCAGGGTTTCTCGCTCAAACTTTACGGAGAATTGTAGTCAGTTGGTTTTTAGTGCAAGGCTTGTTACATACTGGAATTCACGCACTATTGAGCACCAAAATGGGCTATGCAGATTGCAATCTGATATAGTATGTCACATAAATCAGGAAAATTGAAAGTATTACAGAATAACATTCTTGAAGTTTTAGACAACCCAAACTTTTTATATGTGCGTATGAATAATTACAAGCAAAATACTTTTCGATCTCCGTATACGGCAGATAAGATCAGGTTT